AACGTTTATGAACGACTGTCAATATTCCCGATCCTAACTGGCAAGACAACAAGCCCGTAACTCACGGGTTAGGGCGTTGGACTTCTGATCAACATGTCATGGATGCAAACCTCGGGTGATACACCACCTGGAGTTGGATTATCACTGTCGGATGACAGATAATAAGCCAGAAATGGCCATTCCAGTCTTCTTTACCTCTGCCGGCCGACTGAACAGTCCCCGCAAAATGAGCTTAACTCCCTGATCGAGGGAGCAGCGGGAAAAACTTACATGAATGTCGTCTCCGAGAGTGACTTTCTAAAATGCAAATAAAATAAAGCTTTAGTTGCAGAAGAGATTGAAGGAAGGACTAAAAACCCAGCAGAAAACCGGAGTTAAACTACCTAAATTCGATAATTGTGGCAAGAAGGAAATTACACTGAACGGGGACTCAACATACCCGAGGATCCTTAATGCCTTTAAAGGAATGTTCTAAACGGCAAGAAGACCGCGAGGCACATTCTTCAGTGAAAACTCCACTGCTATCGGTTTTGCTGCTGCATATACCGTCGGAACGAGAAGCTTTGGGGAGAGCCACGGAAGAAGCCATCGGTGGAGCCACGGAGGAAGCTATGGGAGTAGCCATGGTGGAATCCATGGACTTACTTGTCTCCTGCTGGAGAGGAAATATTGCAAGGTTTAAAAGTCAGCCTGTATACAGTTACAGGTGAACCAAAGGTAGTACACTATTAAAAAGCAGTACATAGACAAATTTCTGGTCAGATAGGTTTGATTGGAAATACCGTCAAGAACTTAGGTTGATATTCTGGACAACCCATTTTGTTATTTAGATAAAGACATTCACTCGTGCTTCGGACGTCCTAAGTAGTAGAAACACCGGTTTAGCGTAAGTGGAAAGTTTATGACTACAGCTAAAAGGCAGATGATACCAAAGCAGAAGCTGTTAAACATAGACACTTTTTGAAGCAGGCCATGTCGTCTGAATTAGCATAAATACGGGGAAATCTTCGTTTTTTTTTCAAGCTTAAACATTACTGCAGGCCCATAGACAAAAAATGTCGAAAATACGCTCCTCACGATGACAGATTTACACGAGAAAGGTTTCGCCGCCTCCATCTTATGGTAGTCATTGAGTCACACTCATTTGGTGCCTATCCGGACAGAATAATAGATAATATTATTTGGAAAATGGCTATCTCAAGAAGTATATTTCAATGGAAGCAATTCTTTGCGACGCAACTATACAGCGAAATCAGCCTGTACATCCTAAGGATAGGGTTGGCTATTTGGACAAAAAAGTGTGAAAGCAAATTCGGTGTGCGCCATTCCTGAGTGAATATATATCCGGTCTGTTGCGATGATGAGTGACAAATGATGAGACATTGATAATAATTCTATAAATCATTAACTGCATGACTTGTGGGTGGGGGACTGGAATATTACTTTTTAGGGTCACAACCGACATTTCTATGAACCTTTATAGTAGGAGAAAATCAACTATTCTGCAGTAACCATGCAAATGGCCATTCTACAAACGTAAAGTACTACAAGAAGTATAAATTATATACGGCAAAGATGTTATAGCATACTCCCGCATAGGTACTAACTAAAGGAAGAGACGAGAGGTTCACCTCCTCAGTGGGCCCCTCAACGTTTTCTATTCAGTTTTTGGTATATGACCTCTAGATAATCATCGGATAATCGGACAGAATGCCGAAATTCTGCGTCAAGGAAATGACGACGTAGCCAGGGAAACAATCGAGGCCTGGCACACGGGGGCAACCTCCACCAACCTTTGCGTGGCCTACCTAGCCCTCCGAACAAAGTGCAGTGTCCCTGTAACTCACACTCAAGCCGCGAGACAGGTAATGATAAAGGCAGAAGGAAATTACCGACAAAGACCAGGGAGT